CAGTCAATATTTGCTTTTTTTTCTTATGAACTTGAAAATCGTGCCTCAGTGATTAATGGAAAAATGAAAAAGTATATTTTGAAAGACAGAAACACCTATCTGAAAGCTTAGATATTTTTAAAAAGGCAACAGGGAGTCAATGTATGCTGCTGAGTAAGAAAATTACATTAATAGATCACTAGCATATGAGAGGTGAGATTTAACTGACACCAACTGTGCTAATAATGCTAACCTGCAGAAGAACCTATGCCAGGCTAGCTTCATAAGAATTGTCGGCAGATCTTTAAAGGTTAATAAATGTCTATAGACTGTAAAGATTGAGCTATTCAGGGTTGGGAAGGCGGTAGTAATCTGATTTTTAAATGTGACTACAGATTATTCATATATGTTATAAGGTTTAGAAAACACTGATCTATTCCAGTTTCTTCCTTTTTCCAATGAGGAGAATGAAGCCAAAGAAGCAATATGACCTGCTGGAACAGCAGCTGCTTAAGTAGCCTAAGACTCCAACTCACAGGCTTTTTCAGCTTCTGTGTATAAGACAGTTGGCCCGAAATTAGTGTACAGTATGGACTGAAGGGTTAAGTTTCTGGGAGTGGGAAGCCAGTTAAAAGTCTACGATAGCAACCTAAGAAATATTACATTATAATAGTTAGTACCAGAACTACACAGAAAGGTGGAAAAAATGCAATCACTTTAAACAGACCAATAACGTAATTCAAGATAAGAGATGACAACACGTTGAGAACACAGAGGCTCTCAGATCTGATTATAGGGAGAAGGTTCCTAGTCTGGAGGATTAATTTGGAATCAAAAGGAAGCAGAGAAGTTTCAGAGTGCATTTAGAAATTTCTGGAGTTTTCTCACACAAATAACTTACTCTGTCTTCCCTTACCCTCTCTTTGATTAACAGAAGCTGAAGGAAAGGAATTAGCTTTTTTCTGGCTTGAAAACATCTAGAGAACATATTCTTCTTCAGTGTCTCTAACACAGGGTCTCATGATTCAAACTACATACCACCAATAAGAGAAAGATTCAGTATGCACACTATTGTTGATTTTCCTTTTGCTATTTCTGCCTGTCACACAGCAATAAATCAAGGTTTTTCTAAGACCTGAGTCCCCAACTGCTAGTCAGAAAAGGACTCCAGACTCACCAGCCATAGCTAACAGCCTCTGCCTCTTCGTACAGCACTGGAAAGTGGCTCGGACTCAGAATTAAAAGACACCAGGTATTTCCTTATTGCAGGGAGTGGGAACATATGATCACAGATTACAAAGCTGCTTCTGGGAACTTCTAGTTTCATTACTGGGAAGTGCCCTGTAGTCAGCAAATTGGCTTTCTAGTCTTGAACTCTAGATTCTCCCCTGGGGAAAAAAGTTCAAATAACAAAACATTGCTCTGTGGGTTGAAACTTCAGCCTGGTTTTCTTTTCCCTTTTCTCTCCATAGCCCCACATCTTCTATTCATCCTTCTCTTCTGATCTGTCAGTTTTTCTACCTCTACTCATCTAAAAATACATGTCTTGAATGAGTAAAATCTAACTAGTTTCCCTGCATCTTCCCATAAGAATTAACCAAATATTTTGTATGGCTTGGGTTTCTTTATTTTTCATTTCAATTTTTATTTGTGTTTCAGAGGTACATATGCAGATTTGTTACAAGAGTATATTAGGTGATGCAGAGGTTTGTGGTACAATTTAACCTATCACCTAGGTAGTGAGAATAGCACCCAGTACATAGTTTTTCAGTTCTTGCCCTCTTCCTTTACTCCTCCCTCTAGTAGCTCCCCGTGCCTGTTATTCCCATCTTTATGTCCATGTGTACACAGTATTTATCTAGAACTTACAAGTGAGATTATGTGATATTTGGCTTTCTGTTTCTGCATTAATTTGCTTAGAATAATGGCCTCCAGTTGCATCCATGTTGCTGCAAAGGGCAGGATTTCATTTGTATGGCTGTGTAATATTCCATAGTAAGTGTGTACCACATTTTTAAAATCCAGTCCACAATTGATGGGCACCTGGGTTGATTCTATTATTTTGGCTGTGGTGAATAGTGCTGTGGCAAACATTTAAAGCACATGTCTTTTTGATAGAACAATATATTTTCCCTTGAGGATTCAGTCAGTAATGGGATGCTTGGACAAATGATACTTCTTTTTTTCGTTCTGTGGTAAATCTCCAAACTGCTTTTCACAAAGATGGATGTATCACATTACTGGACTTCAAGTTATGCTAGAAGTCTGCAGTAACCACAACAGGAAGGTACTGGTACAAAATACAGACACATAGCCCAAGGGAACAGAATAGAGAACCCCAAAATAAAGCCACACACCTACAACCAACTGACACTCAACAAAATCAACAACAACAACAAAAAAGAAAGAAGGAAAGGATTGTTTATTCAATACATGTATTTCTTGCTTAAACTGTGCTGAGGAATCATGATGGAGTCTTCTCCTCCCCATCTCCCTGTCTTACCCTTTGATTAGAGATAGTTCTGAAGGAATCCTCTTAACTATTTCCTGGAATGCTGTTCTTCAACTGACTAAAACTGCTTTAACAGTTAATTTTTACTTAAGGTGGTAATTCACTTCTGCTTTTTGATATTCTCTGAGCAAAGACTGATACAGATGTAGTCTCAGGTTGTAGTAGAATATGCATGATAGTACAGAAGAAATATGCCCAGAAAAACAGTTAATAAAGGGCAAAAAAGAAGAGAGAGAGAGAGAGAGAGAGACTGTAATGTGTTCAACTATGAAGGTTTTAAAAAAGTCAGAAATTAACTCTCATTTAATATGTTTAATACTAGAAAAAACTCATATTTGCAAGTAAAGGGTTAGTTCTTTGAATCATCCCTAAATCTTAACATCACTGAGTGAATGATTTCACCCCAAACTCATTTTCTCTGCACCATACCAGGACTTCATTGTGCACACCATGCATCCTAGATTTTCTTCAGGGTGTCATGAGCCATTTGCCAAGTGCTTCATTTTGGATGGCCGTCTTACCTTTTCAAGGAGTCTGTGAACTACTGAGGGTCTAGGGTTGATTTCTTTGTCTTAAATACTTTTGCAAAGCGTAGAAACATGCAAGTTCTGTTCATGGATTGGTCAATAGTAAACTGTGGGATTTAGGAAAAGTTTCTTATCACACTACACTGTCACTGTCAAAACTAGCTGTCTTCCCCCATCTCTCCTGCTGAACTCTAAATTACTTGAAGTCAGACACCTGCTGTAACTTACATCGCATCCCCAAAGCAGAAAGCCCAGCAAATTATTTTGCTATTTTTAAAAATGGCACAAAATAAATTTTTGTTCAAGAAAGTAATTAATAACATTGCTATGTTTGTAAGTCTGATTTTCCTTTTTTTTAAATTTTTATATTTTATTTTACTTTAAGTTCTGGAAAAGAAAGGTGCCAATAGCCAGTTCTGGTCTGACAGATTAAGTCGAACACTCCAAATTCCTTAGTCGCTCTAAGTTCCAATCCCTGTTTCTTCAGTGTGGGAGAAAACTGAGGGCAAGTTTTCATTTTTCTAACAGATTTATTAGCTCAAAAAAAGTTTATGATTCAGCAGACATAATTCCAAAAAGCTTTACAGAAGGATCTCTTCACTTCCTATGAGAAAAAGAAATTTAAAAAAAGTAAACATAGGAAAACATTTTGTTAAAGACATGCAAGTTATAAAGTTATACCACCAATGGGAACATACACAATTTTAAAAGGAAAGACCACATGCTATGTTTAAATATACCCTGCTGAGGTGAAGGAGAGAAACATCTAAAAGTGAGGTTTCATAGTCTTACAGCCACTTGTGGACCAAAGTCAGCTGAATCTCAGAAGGGGTCTAAATGAAAAACTTTGGGAGAAGAGGAACGTGCTCTGCACTGACCAGAAGAAAGGCATTACTTCAGTATTTTCTGTATATCATATTATGGCTTGATTATCCCTTATCTGAAATGCATGCTACCAGAAATATTTCAAATTTCAGATATTTTTGTATATTGGAATTCAGCAGTATACTTATTGGTTTAGCATCCCCAATCCAAAAACCTATAATTTGAAATGTTTCAATAAACATTTCCTTTGAATATCATGCAGGCGCTCACACAGTGTTGGATTTTAGAGCATTTCAAAATTCAAATTTTTGGATTAATGATTCTGAGCCTGTAGACCTAGAATTGTTGACTAAAATGGACTGTCAGTACCCTTTCCTCAGCCTTCCCACACTCCCGACCATACACATGTACCTGCCCACAGACATTCGTACAATTTCCTTATTTTAATGTCCTGGGAAGAGGTAGAAACATCTTGTCAAAGTCACTCTTTCAGTGGTGGGCATCTGCACTCTACCACCTGGCTGCTCAAATGAAAGTCGAACCTAAAAGAGTAAGGAAAGTCTGTAGCCCGTTTTTTTTTTTGTTTTTTTTTCTGAGTTTTTTTTTCAAGAGCTTCTTGAGTTGCGCCAAAGAACTACAACAAATATAGCAAAATAAGTGACAAAAACAAAAAGTACTTCCATCTGCAACAAGTATAGCCATATATGTATGTAAGCATTGAATGACCCTCCTCAGGGCATTTTAAGTCTGCTGCTGGATCTAATAGCCATGAGAGACACAGGTAATTAGAGTCCATTCATTTGTCTCTGAAGGGCAGGAGCGGGTGAAACTAAATGATTGTTTTCTCAAGGCCGTGGGTGTCATTACAGGTTGGATCTGGCTCCCAGGTTTGTCCACGCTCTCAAGAACTCCAAAACTCTTTTGGAAAAAAAGGGTATTATTGGAAGATAAACATGTCTGGATCTGCTCTCTATGCTTCCAATTGCAATAGTCAAGCATTCAGGGAAGTAGAGTGAAAATAGCATCGTCTAGAGCCCTACCTTGCGGAAAATTTCCTCCACATCACAGGAACAAGCATATTCTTGTATATGTTCAATGAGTCTTATAATAAAAACAGAGCCCTTTGTGGGATGTCTCCAAGAAACGTTATCTGTTGATAAAGCACATTTCAAATCTCAAGACTAGCTCTTGCCTGAAGAAAGAGAAGAAACCCTAATATTTCTACTCCAGCTGAGTGATGTTTGAAATCATAAATTTAGTAGCAAATAAGGAAAAGGCAGAATGCGGTAGAGGGGAGTGATTGGGATTTGGAAACAAAATATCTAAATGTACATTTCCAAAGTGGTATTACTGACTGTGATTTAAGTTAATTATGCATTCTGATATTTAATAGACTCAGCTGTACAGGGGATGGTAATAATTCCATACACAAGTGGTATCTGAGGTCACACAAGTGTTTGAGATAACCCAGGATATGCAATACTCAGTCTACAGGTAATTATATTAACAAATCTCAATTTATATACTTCATAAAAAATTAATCAAAATTAAATAACATTGACAGTAAGATATTTACACACAAAAAGTTAACTATAAAAATCATAAAACAGAACAAAAGTAGAAATCTAGAAGGAGTAGATAAGGAAATGAGTGTATTATATTGGAGGGAAAAAGTTCTTATGAAGAAGAGAAATATTAAAGAAAAGCAATATTAATTTACTGCATAGTAGACACAGAAGTAATGAAGGTATAAAATTATACAAAGGAAGGCATAAGAGAAAAGCAGCAGCAATAACTCTGTATATAATGACAGACACATTCTTTAATGACACATTTTAGCCAGTTATAATGGTCATAAAGTATATATTGATAATAAAATTCTATTTAGAAACACAGTCATCTCAGCTAAATGAAGGCTTTAACTGAGACTTGTTCTAGTAAAAGGAAGTAAGTGAAAGATACGGTGGAGACAGATGTCTCTGCAAATGTTTTGTGAAATTAAGGAAGTAGATAATTATTTTTCTTCAGGAGATCACTATGATGTGGTTGGGATTGGCACAGCAGAATGTGGAGATAGGTTTAACATGGAAGTTATAGATAACTAAATTGGAGTTTCTGACAGTCATCTGGAAGGGAGGAGTAAGGCAAGTGAAAGAAAAGAAGGACACATAAATCAGCCAGATTGATGACGAGAAGCCAGGGGCCTGCAAAGAGCTACTTAGAGAGTGGTGAATGTCATGTGGAAGGCTGGGATCAAAAGATACTAAGTAACAGTTCTGTCTAATGTTAAACTCTACTATAGGTACTCAGGCTGAAAATGTATGGTGTTTTTGGGTGCTGTCATTGTTTCTGATCATTAGGAAAAAAATTATTGAGTTCTACATCAGGACATGTTCAACACAATACAGAACCAAACCTCTTCTGAAAGAAGATATCTCATTTTAGAAAATATTTTAGAAAACTTAACTATTTGAGCAGAGGCAGGGCCTTTGGGCTAGAGGTGACCAAGTGAATGCGAGTCCTTTCAGGAAACTGTCAAACATGGTGAATGAAAGGATTTAAATAATTTTTATCTAAATCTCGCTTAGAAAAGTAACTGAATTAAGTTATCAAATAAATACATTTTAAATAATAGCAGTTCTTTAATGTGTGCTTTATTTTGTGTCATTTCCAATATTTCAAACATATTAATTTATTAAATCCTTAGAAAAATAGTATTTATATTCACGTATTAGTGAGCAATTCAAGGAAAGCCCAAGGAGGAACTAGTGGAGTTGTTTTACAAAGTACTAAATGTCTGGGTCAGTCAATAATAGCAAGATTCTTACTCCAAAGCATACATTTAGAAAAATTCAAATATATTCTGTCTTGTATGCTTCATGCTTCCAGGTAAAACCCACTTAAATTTAGAGCCCTAAAGTGCCTTGCTTGCTCTTCTACTTTTCGGAACCTTGCTACTACTCTTCTCCTATAAGTATTTGATGTCTGGGCAAATTGGACGAATGAACGATCTCAACATGGTGGAGTTTTCTACGGAGAGGCAGATTCTGATGTACTACAGCACATACTGTCTTCCATTTAATTCTCTGTTATCGCTCAAATTGCCAAAAATATTTTGAAACATAGATGACTTCTCTAACTAATAATGCATTGAATAGATATGTAAAATTGATCTCTTGGATAAAGGGAATTGTGTGTATAACTTGGAACAAAGCTTGAGTTGGTCTTGAGTTGTTAATCATCACCTCTAGTGGGTGACTGTCACTTTTTGTATTGATAGCCCCAACAAAGATGTCCTGTGTAGAAACCTGTTACCTGGTGTGGAAGAGCAGAAAGCAATAAAATCCTTCTCTATGTGGGCTTTCTTAATAGCATCAACCTCAAACTCTTCTGTAGTGCTCTGAGTACAAGAGTATCGTTTCTGACAACTCCTTGGCTTGAATCGTTTAACCACACACACATGGTTCTCTGCGAACAGGACACAATTTGTTTGTTTACTACCCTATTCAATGGCTGAGAAGATGATGGAGTATCCTCCCCGCGCTCTGTTCATGATATTGAATTAATGTTCCTTGCTCCATTCCATTTGAACGATCCATGCAAATAGCACACATCTTTCAGTTCCACCAATCTTTTCAAACTAATATTTACTCTTTTCTAACCATGCA